ACCTTTTTCACAAAGTGAAAATGAGGAATTCAATAATTGTTGAATAAAAGTTAACTCAAAAAAAGCAAACTCTTCTCAAAAATTTTCACAACCTTGTCATGGATAAATCAGCAGAATTTTACATGAAAACCCTGTTAAGGCAAAAAATCAAATGCACTTAATCAGATGATTACAAGTGGACTTTACATGAAACCCCTGCACACACAAAAAAATATGATATAAGGAACCCTTTTTAGAATTGAAAAATTGGAAAGTATTATTCAGTTATTAAGACACAACTCAGTTTTAACTATCTAACTCTAAGTCAGGTTCAATCTCCTGGTCCTTCAGCATAAAAAATAGCAACCACAGCATTTTCTTGCATATGTTGAAGAGAGTTGATAGGCTGAGTAAGCTCTCTGTCGGCTATGTTCAGAAAAAATACGAAGTTAGGATACAAAGAATACAGGGTTAGCAGCAAGATCTTGGCAAGTGGGTAAGAGGTAAATGAGGATGGCGTCATAGGGAGCAGGAGAACTCAACGCAAAATATCAAGTAAAAGAAGCTCAAACTTATCAATAATAGCTCCTAGATCACTGTCAAGAAGATAGACAAATATATAGGCACATTCCTGTCACAAGAAGTTTGGATGTTGTATATGAGATCATTTTACCAAAATCTTCTCTCTCAGACTGAGGTACTCCAAGATACCTATGGAAGCATACTGGAAGAGAAAAGTGTCCATCGCGTGGCATTCTTTGCCTGGGAGGCTATTTGGGCCAAAATTCTTACTTTGAGTAACTTAAGAAAGCAGGATAGAGACATTGTTAATGCCTGTCCAATGTGTTTGCAAGAGGATGAATCCCCCAATTGAATTGAAGCTTGAATTGGAACATTCAAAAGAAAAGACACCCAAAAAAGAAAAGGAAATGAAGTCATTGGCAAACGGAAAAAAGAACCAAGTTACTGGAAAGTTTTCAATTTCTAAAATCAAAAAATTTCATTTTTAGGCTTGCTAAGAGCATTATCTACTTGTTTTTTTCTTTTGAAAAGTAAAATGAAAACTTCGTTTTCCCTATACCCAAATAGCTATAATCCCTTGTTAACTAAATACCATATTTTTCTGTTTCATATCATCACTAGAAACTACATTCTTCAGTTCTTCTTACAAATCCATGCTTGACATAAAAAAAAAAAAAAAATCCCAGATTTTCTTTGTCCTTCTAAATCATGAAAATGCATTAACAAAACGGAAGAAGTAGAGGCTTGATAGTTGGGTTATGACATACTCTCAAAGTAAACCTTTTTGGGGAAGAAAATAGAATTCTTGAGAGAAATAACACAAAACCCAACATATATACCTTCATAATACATGATTTCTGAAGCTACTCCAACAACAATATCTACATAAAAAGACTCAACTTCAATTTTTTTCTAAAAGGAAACAGTAAAGTAAAACTTGAGAGAGGACAAGTTTAAGAAGGAAGAAAAGAGAAAATACCCAGAAGGAATCATGGTGGAGAATCCTTTGAGAAGTTCACAGGTTCAGAGATCTGAAACAAAGACTTGGAGTGAAGAGAGGAAGTAATTTTCTTTTCTTTTCTTTCCTTTTTCAGACTTTTTCCAGCAATCATTTGATGCTTTCAGAATCCGTAGTGTGACCTGAGCAGTACAAGAGGTAATG